CTATAGAATGTTCTGTGTAGGTAAGGAGGGGAGGCCAGGTTTAGAACAAAAACATTTCTGTGTAAGTAATTCTGATAAATTGCCTAAAGATCACTCCAAACAAAGGGACACATGTCTCTAAGTCTCCAGCAACTTATGATTTCTTTGCTCATTCTAGAAATACTCCTAAATATTTACTTAGTTCCTAATTTTTATTTACAAATTATGTTTTGTAATGAAATCCCCAAGAATTATACAAGATTCATGTTCAACTAGATAAATAAGCTTCTGTATGTAGCAAAGGTACTCAACAAACATTTTAATTGCAGAAAATCATTCCTACTTTTGTAAAATGATGCTTATATCGATCAGTCACTTACTAGCAGAGTTTGAAAACCCTAATTTAGGGGAGATTTTTACATAACAATTCTCAATACAACACACTTAATCACACTTAATACAACACACAATCACTTAATCACACTTAATTACACTCATAGAATGACAGCACTTGTAAGATTCTAAGAGACCTTCCAACTACTTACATGCTTTGCAAATGAATGGTAAGGACAGATGGTCCCCAACTGATGTTTGACTTAAGATTTTCCAACTTTACCATGTTCCCAAAGCAATACTCATGTAGTAGAGACCATGCATCAAAGTTATGAATTTGGATCATTTCCTAAACTGATGATGTTCAGTAGGGTAGGTACATAAGATGTATTCTTGACTTCAGATATTTTCAACTTCCTGTTTGTTTATCAGGTTGTAGTTTATCATATCATAAGCCAAGGAGTATCTGTAATTGAGGGTGCAGAGCCAGTGGTAGACCAGCTGAGGAAAAGAGCAGAGCCATATTGATTTTGAAGAGGGTTGGGAGAGGACTAATGGAGGGATTTCTATACACTGTCCTAGGAAAAAAAAAAAAAACTTTAATTTTCCCCTTTACTGGAAACTACTATCCGACTATAACAACAGTAGATAGCTTTTCCCTCTCTGTACACTCTACAGCAACATAGTGCAATTGGAAGAGGTAGTGATTAGACATTAAATTAGCTTTTTCCACATTCAGCAATCTCTACTTAGGCCTAAAAAAAAAAATCATGCTTCAGTGTTAAAAAATAAGACTGAGTACCATAAGGTAGGAGTTGGTATTGGAAAAATATCCCTTTGGGGTTGAAGCATCCCCTCCAGGTGCTTGGGGAAATACTTGATGCCCGAAGACTCTGCAGTGACTACAGTCTTTAATCTTTTCTCAGTGACTCCAGGCCGAAACCAGATCCACTGTTAGTTTACCCACCAATCTGGAGCCAAGCCTAGAAATAGTTCCACCGCCGCCCCAGTGGCATGTGGGATGGAAACAAATGTTCTACATGGTGGCGCCTGTTGGCTCTGATCAGATAAATTAAGGAGTTGAGCATGTTTCCACCATTTGGTTTAGTTTTATTTTCGTCCCCAAATCCCTTTGCTCCCATTTTAAGGTCTGGCACTTTCTCACTGGCAAAGGCCATTCTGCCTTATCACTGTGAAAGCTTTCTCAAGTAGGAGCAGCCCCAGCCATATCCATCCTAAGGGACACTCAGTGTCCAGAAAACCAGTTATGCAGCTGTTACAGAAGATCATAACAGCCACCCCTTTGTCTCAGTTTGTCCCTTGAAAAATAAACTGTCAGAGAGACTACACTAGGTTTTTTTTAAATGAAAAAAAGGGTCTTTTTAAAGATCAAGATGTAAAGATTAGTTAAGTACACTGTTGCTTTGTTTATAGAAACAGTATTCAATTTAAAGAATGATACCTGAGGTCATCTTTGAAGAGAGTGACTACTCAAGTCACATTTTCTTCCAATACAGTACTATTCAGTTAACAGTCTACTGTTTTGGATCCAGAAAAAGGGCAATTTTATTTGGTTCCAACAAATATTTATTTATATCTCCAGATACTGGTCCAGCTTTCTGGTCATAGTCCCCTGTGTTCATTTCTTGGCTTTCCTACGGCCAGGAGATACTCCATAACCACAATGCTGTGAATGTTTTGTTCTGGGGTTACTACCAATACTGACTTAGAGTTGATCCAGCTCTGATTTAAGATAGTTTGTCTATGGCAGTTCATAAACTGCCCTAAAAAATGTAAGAAATGTAAGCAGGTGAGTAAGAAGAAAAAGAAAAGGAGGGCAATACTGATTGCTATTAGCTTTGCACTCCTCAATTCCCTGTCTGCTGAACTAGCCATAAACTGTGAACCAGAGCTATGACTATTGATGATTTTACCAATAATTCATCTGCCAAAAGCTTTTTAGATCATGGAGAAGTCAAAATTATTTCCACCACTTGGAATCAAGAACAAGTATATTCGGAAGTGATGCGCAAGGCCTGGTTGCTAGGACCATAAAAAACTCACATGACTATGAGGTTAGCACAGAAGTAATGAACACCATTTTCCCCTCAACAATGAGCTAAATTAGTAACTGTGGGAATATCTCCAGATAGTCCATACTTCTAAACTTAAATAGAATAATTCTTCTAAAGTTAAATAGAATAATTCTGCATTTATTTTAACTCCACATATGAGGAAAGGCCTTTCAGATATATTCTTTTGGGTATTTTTGTTTTTGTTTTGGTTCCAGGGATGAACCCCGGACCTTGCGCATGTGCTTGCCAGGCAGGCGGCAGCACCACTGAGCTAAATTCCCAGGTTCCAAGATATAGTCTTATACAAGCCCAAGATCTTTTAGGCAGTGCTGTATTATCTTGTTAGCACTGCATTCATGTGTACTGGCAGAGTCGATAGCAATAAACATTTATTAAATAAATGCTAAAAAGATAGCATTGCTTTATAAGGTGCTTTTTAAGAAGTCACTTAGTGACTTTATCAACTCCTGCATTCATCCACTACAGCATGCTGTAAAAATTAATTTTATGACTAAGGAAACAGTATTTGTGTAGTCAGATGTTTATTTTCCCAAGGATATACACGTCCCTGTGACCAACTTAATCTGTTGGTCTTATTCCCATGTAGGACTGTACCTACCTTCCTTAAACACTAACATTTCCTGATAGGATGACCATATGAATTTATCTTCCAAACTGAGATATATTTGGTGGTGAAAAGAGCATGATTAATAAGGAAAGCAGAACAAGAGGCACAAATTAGGAGATTCCCAGAGCAGTGGTGATTTAACTTCTTGACACTCTGCAATGTACCTGCCACAGTATTAAGTGTTAGGGGGGAAAAAAAAACCAACAAATATGTTTGCAGTTATAGTCAACAGACGGTGGAGAAAGTCTTCCTCAGTGAAATGAATCAGTACAATGTAATTCCTATCTTTACTGCATTTACCTGCAAAATTCCTATTTCCTTTATCAAATGTTTCCATTCTAGACAGGAGGGCTGAGAAACACTATTTTCCTGTACCTTGCTCTATTCCTACTTGGTGAAATCTTTATCTTTGAAATTTTTGTCCCAATTCATTTCTAGAAATTGACTGTTAATAAGTGGCTACAGGAATTAAAGCCTAGGGTTTCTAAAATAAGTCCATGTCTTGAGTTATTTTTCTTGTTTATTACAAGAAAACATCCATGGTGAATTTTTACTGCCCCTACATCAAGAGATAGAACACTCTTATGTTTAAAAGTAACAAGTTCAAAGACTCAACAACTGGGATCTCATCTTATTAAAATGCTTCTGCACTGCAAAAGAAACCATCAACAGAACTAAGAGACAACCTGCAATGTGGGAAATAATTTTTACCAGCTGGTCTACAGACAAAGCTCTACTATGTAGAATATAGAAAGAACATAAAAAAATCAGACCCCCAAATATAAAGACCCAATTCAAAAATGGACATCTGAAATGAACAGACATTTCTCAGACAAATAAGTAAAGGCAGTAAATAAACATATGAACAAATGTTCAACATCACTGGTCATTTGAGAGATGCAGATGAAAATAACAAAGATTCCACCTCAGCCCACAAAGAATGGCTGCTATCAAGAAACTAACCAATAACAAATGCTGGCGGGGTTGTGGAGGCAAAGGAATCCTCCTTCATTGCTGGTGGGAGTGCAGACTGGTGCAACCACTGTGGAAATCAATATGTAGATACCTCAAACAACTAGGATTAGAGGTCCCATTTGACCCAGCTATCCCTCTGCTGGGTATCTTCACAAAAGAATTATACCATAGTGATATATGCTCACCCATGTTTATAGCGGCACAGTTTGTAATAGCTAAAACTTGGAAACAGCCCATTTGTTCATCAGTTGGAGATTGGATAAAGAAGATGTGGTTTTTCATAAAATGGAGAACCACTCAGCCATAAAGAATGAGAAACTAGACACATTTATGGCTAAATGGATGCACATTAAAGCCACAATTTTAAGCGAAAGTAATAGGAAGCACATGTGTAAATACTGAATGATTTCTGTGATGTGAGAAACTAAAAATGTAAATAAGGATCAAAATGTATAATTGATAATTTGGGGCTGGGGATTTAGCTCAGTGGTTCGGTGGCCTGCCTTGCAAGTGCAAGGACCTGAGTTCAATCCCCCATACAAAAAAAAAAAAAAAAGATAATTTGAAATAGGAAGAAAAAGTCTAAAGGAGTAGGGGAAATGGGACAGGTAGGGGAAAGGAAGGAAGGGAAAGGAAAAAATATGAGAAAAGGAAAAAGATGGAAACAAAGTCTCTGTAAAATAGGAAAGGGTGGAAAAGGTGAAGGGAGGGAAGGGGAATGGGGAAAAATAAGAACCAAGATACATCATATAAAGGTACAAGATCCCAATGGTGAATGTAACTGTACTGTATACCTAAAGTGTACCAATAAATTTAATGAAAAAATTATAGGTGTGTAATACTGGGTATTTATTCTGCATTATGCAACTTGGACCACTGAGATAGTAGTGTCTGAGTGACTCTGAACTTCTCCACTGACTTCCTCTCTCCCCTCCTCTACCTTCCTTCCCAGGAGCTGAAGCTCAGCAGTAAGCCTTGGGGAAAAAGTCATCAAGAAAAGGTACCTGAACCACTGCAGCAGTCCATGAAGATTTAGCAGAAAGGTCCCAGGGGAAACAATTTCTTGTAGAACTCTATTGCTCTTGGAATTCATCCACATACAGAGTTTTATCTATTACCTTTCTCTTTCTCTTTGCAGCTGGACACTCTGGTAAATTTGGCCTGGAGGTGTCTTTCATCACCTTTTGGATGCCAGAAAGAGGAAACATGAGGTTATGAGGTTCAGAACAATTATGTTTGGTAAGGATCTCTCCCCCCACCCCTCTCTCTATATATATCTTTTTCTTATCACCTCTTATCTCCTTTTTCTCTTTTTCTTATCTTTATTTCTATTTCTATCTCTATGTCTCTTCCTTTTTCTTATCTCATAAGAGTTTTGACAAAAGGGAAATAGAAACAAGCCTATTAGATTTTAGCGGGGAGGGGTACTGGTATTCGAACTCAGGACCTTATGCTTGCAAGGCAGGCTCAAAATTCACCTTGATATGACAAAGTAAGGTAAGAGGCCAGGAGGGATTCTGGGTCACATCCATAGGAAATAACAAGGTGTGTCCATACTTGGATTCTTTCTCAGGGTACCTGCAAGGGCAGCTCTGCAGTAGCCATCAAGATCGAAGTTTGCACCTGTAGCCTAGTATGGTGCCAATACACTTTAGGTATTTATCCCTTTTGATGACTAATAGCTCTTGTCCTCTAAAATATCTGGTAAATAAGAGTTATGATGAAGAAGTGAGGAAAAATAAATTGGTGAATATGCTGATTAAAACATCCTCACATTTGCCAGGCCAGAACCAAAGGTTGCCCATTTTACAATCATATCACTGTTGTTGCATTCATTAAAATGATGACTGCATGAGGGACACCACCTTCCAGAATACATTTCACTGAGATCCAGCAGCTAAGAGTCTCCAAATTAATATATACTTAAAAAATAAAACTCTATGTCACTGTAGGAAAGTCTTCTCAATTCCAGATAACTTAGTGCTACATTAATCTCAACATAATTTTCTTTTCTGTACCTTTCATTTATTTCCTTCTAAACTACTTAGGAGAAAAATACAATATTCATGTAATCTCTGAGAACCAGAAACATTTAGATTCAGAACAAAAATACTCAGCTGGTCATCATTTTAGTACCATAGCTAAAGCTTTGTCCCTTTTCCTTTTGAATCTCTCCCATAAACAAGAAGATGCATTTAGAACTAATTACACAAATACTAGTGGAATCATTGTATTCTAAATAGTCTTCCATTAGATGCAATAGTACTACCTTTGAAAGAGAGCTTTGTACTACCTAAAAATCTCTAATTTGAAAGACAGTGTATATGCCCAGAAACTTTCATGTTGCATATTAAATATTAAGGCTTTCTAGAAATCTTCAGAAATTTTCAAATATTTCTCCTTACATGTGGTTATTGAAAACTTCCTAGGTGTTTAAAAATATTAAAACAATCACGGGTTCATATTAATTCTTACTGCAAGTCACCTGTATTTATTTAGGATTACTGTACCAAATAAATATAAATTAATATTGATATTGAAATTAAAGAAATCACACTGCAAATGTTGGATTTAGAATCATTATGAGATTAGGAAAATTCTCAGAAATTTAATCAGATTAACTGTCAATAAGAGAACAAGATAAATTGAGACATTTCCCCTGAGCTGGTATTTTCTCAATGTAGGAAATTCTAGGACCCTCTGCACCTATTCAGTTGGAACAGGTGCACTATTTATTCGACAAAATTAAACACCAATGCTAGGTCTATCCTAGTTAGGACACTCATAACCTAGATTGAAAATAGTTTTACTCATATGCTGGAGGCACTTGAGGTAGTCCCAGAGTATACAGAAACTCTGACCCCATAAGTAGTCATACACTTATGGCTTTGATTTGGAAATGTGACAAGGCAGGGCTACAGTCACTCTACATGAAATGAATTCCAGTATAAATTTTTCATCCCAGAGACATTGTGTGTGTGTGTGTGTGTGTGTGTGTGGTACCAGGGATCAAACTCAGGACCTTGCACTTGCGAGGCAGGCGCAGCACCACTGAGCTAAATCCCTGGATCCCAAAGCCAATTCTTAAACTCTCTTTCTCTCAGTTTCACACTGAAGTTATTATCCAATGTGATGGAAATTTTTCTATACCTCTAAAAGAAGAGCTGCAGGAAATACAATAAGACAATGAAGTAAAGGGAAGCACCAACCTGTCACTGCTTATCATAGGCAGAGGGGAAACTAGCCAGAGGGAAAGTGAATTTATTTTTGAAAATGCCATTCCCACTAAAATCATTTCAAACAGAAGAAAATATAAAGATGAAGAGAAGACAGGTAGACATGGAGCAGTAACTCTGGGAAGAATCTTGAGCTTATCTGGACCTTCAGGTGAATACATTAAGTGGGAACCCATGAACTTCCTGCAACTACGAATGGCAAAGACTGTGTGATTGTGTAATATTATCCTCAAACTTTCATTCAAGAACATAAGCCATCAAAATCAGAATTAAAAACTTTAGGAAAAAGAAGAAATGAAATATAAAATAAATTTTTAGAGTTATAAAACTGGGTTCATGTTTAGAAATAGTTTCTGAAGAAGATGCATGAAAATAATAATCTTGGTATACAATTACAGATTATGTCAACAAATTCAAAGAGAAGGTAAAGTCAAATGTGTTCTGAAAGTTTCATCTTTCCCTAGGAGAAGCTGGTAGAAACTGCTTCATTGTTGAAATTGATAGTGAAATAATTTGAAAATATCTTAATGTCAAGTTACCTGGCAATGAGTGTAAAACTTCAAAATAACTAGCGAAAAAGGAAAAAATTAAATGAAGAAAATATAATCAACTTTCAAAGACAAAGAGGTTTATATACATTGGATTAATTATTTCATAAAATATAATGAGATGAAATATACAAAGTTGTTAGCAGTGACAGTAATCTCTCTGTTTTAATGGGATTTTATTGGAAATACTTAACACTACCAGAAAGCACTACAGTGTGGACTCCTAGAGTATTTTACAATCATGTCACTTAGCCCAGGTGTATGTTGTATGAATATTAATAGCCTGATTCCAGGCTGTTCATCAGCAGTGACCTTCAACATGCTAAATACTTTTTATAAAGCTTGAATATAAAGGACGAGATCCTGCAGCAGAGCATCTGATTTCTTCTTCATGTTAGAAAACCAATAGAACCGAGAGGAATAAGGATATACTGTTTCTTCTTGATGGAACATTCAGTGTTGTCTTAGTTATTTCTCATTATTGAGACAAAAATACTCATAACCTAAGTTAAAAGAGGAAGGTTTATTTAGCTCACACTTTGTAGAGGTTTCAGTCTATAATAAGCTGGCTCCAAGGCAGGGTGACATGGCAGAGCGGCGTTGCAGAGGAGAAACGCTTCATGGTGGGCAGAAGTAGCAAAGCAAGCAAGGGACAAGACAAGCCTCTTTATGTCCCTTATATTGTATCTAGGCGACTAGTATTAGGGTAGTGCCAAACCAATCAGTGGGCTGATTTAGTAATCCTAGCACTCTTAATCCTAGCACTGCACGATTCAGTCACACACTCTAGATACAGCCACCTCTGAAAAATCCACCTTTGACTGCCTGAAGCTCTGGAGGAACATCTAGACATAAGAAATAATAACTAAATTCATTTTAATTTATCCACAATCATCAATATACTTGAATATGATATTTCTCCAAAACATAATAATTGAGAAAATCCTCTATCTATACAGTGTGGTCATTAAATAACTATAGTGAAGCCAGGTGTGGTGGCTCATGCCTGTAATCCCAGCACTCGGGAGGCTGAGGCAGGAGGATCCCTGTAAGTTTGAGACCGGCCTGAGCTACACAGTGAGTTCCAGGTCAGTCTCTTTCTTTTTCTTTTTTTGGTAACTGAGATTGAACTCAGGATCTTGCGCTTGCAAGGAAGGCAATGGAACCACTGAACTAAATCCCCCAGGTAAGTCTCAACTACACAGTGAGACCCTGTCTCAAAAAACAAAACAAAACAAAAAAACGATAGTGATTATTCCTTGAGATTATATCATATAGAAAGATCAAAGAGCACAATATAGTAAATTTCAGAAATAGATTATCAGTTATTTAGAAACTTTGTTAAACTATTGCTAGAAATCAGCAAGAAAAATGGGCTTTTCAACATAAACTTAATAAATGTTTTATCATCCATATGGAAAAAGTTATCCTTATTTTACAACATACTGAAAATATCTAAGACAATTAGGAAAACATTTCTAAAACTTTGATTTGGGAAAAGATTAAAATAATTTTTCTAAAAAATCATAAACTGTAAAAAAAAAAGATTTGACAAATTAAAAACTTGTAGGCAACTCATGAATAAAAAGGTATTCCACAGGGCTCAGGATGTCACTCAGTGGTAAAGCATGTACTCAATATACCCAAGACCCTGGGACAGAGAGAGGGAGGGAGGGAGGGAAAGAGAAAGGGGGGGAGAGGGAGAGAGAGAGAGAGAGAGAGAGAGAGGGAGAGAGAGCTCACACCCACCAGAAAGTTCCCTAAATCCGGCAGAAAATATGGATATCCATGTAGAGGAGGCATTTAAAAGCCAATTTAAAACAGGAGGTATGAGCAGAAAAACAACTCTCTAGGTCATATTATAGTTTGTTGAAAGTAAAGAACAAAGAAAAATATTAAAACCTGAATGAGAGAAGTGCTAAAGGAAGGAGGAAATAAACACCACAGATCGAGAGATGATATTTACAAACATAAAATTATATTTATAGTATATGAATACTACAAAGAAAGAAGAAAATTAAAAGATGGCCATAAAATAGTCTACATAAAGGCAATTCACAAAAGTTAAATCTTAATAGCCAATAAAGCATATAAGCAAAAATATCCCGTCTTACTTCTAACTGAAGTATAAATTAAAATAGAATATGATGCATATTGGAAAAATGATCAGAATTTTTCAGTTTTTTTTAACTTTTGGTAAGAATTTGTAGCATTAGGAAGTCTCATCCACTGACAAGAATGTACAACTGAGACACAACTTTGGAGATCAATGCAATATCTGACAAAGTTGGAGATGCCTATACCCTAAGCAAATCCATTGTCCCTGACCTAAAGAAACTCCTACAGGTGTGCAAGCATAGGTATGTAGGAATGCACATTTTAGTATCAAAATGAGAC